CGCGCGCGCGCGCGCGCGCGCACACACACACACACACACACACACACACACACACACACACACATACACAACAAAATTACACTATTACTTTTTTTCATTAATATACATTTAATTTCAAATAAGATTTTCCTTTCAAATAAGATCCAGTGATGAGAACATATTATTTGATATATATTTTTACTGTTTGCTATTAAAAATATAATTTCATTCTTAAATTTAGATATTCGTTTCAATTGCAAAAATAGCATAAACTTAAAAGAAAAGATATTTCAAATATGTATCTTTATATTAATTCATGGTTGATTTTTTTCTTACCTAGCTATTTCAAACATTCCGCATGCATGCTGTATAAATGCTACATATATAGATGTTGTAGACATTAGCGTCATTTGAATTAGAAATACGGTTATAATAACATGCAAAACAACAAAATAAAAATATTCATCGATGTCAATGAAGTAATCCGTTAAAATCAACAGCTGGTGTGGACGAGAATGATTAAGTGGTGCCACAAAATCAAGAAGATTTGGTATAAAATGTATACAGCCGACGAATATTGGAAAAGTATAAGCTATTACTGTAATTTTTAATTATTAATACGAGATTAATATTATTTGTTGCAAAAAGATAAAGAATTAAAAATTTGAATTTAAATACAAATAATGATTAAATGATAAATGATTAAATAAATCATTCTTAGCACATATATTATATAATTATTGTATGTACAATATACAATTAATTATACATATATAATTAAGAATATAAGATTTTTGATAATTTTAAAATTAATTAATTTATTCAATTTCTGACATAATTAATTTTAATTCTGTAAAAGATTAGAAATAGTGTCAATTTTAGGAGTTTAGTTGATGTGCATATTTTAACTCGTGAAATAGTATAATAATAATATTTCCAATCTTACATGCAAATAATCGTGCGTAAAATGTTCCTATAGAAGTATATTTTTTTATTATTTTATATTCCACTTTATTTTTCAGTGTTTTCCAATCATATTTTATTATTTCCATTAATTTTCTTATCTATAATTATTATGCATAATATATATTATTTCTATGTGTATGACAATGCTTAACCGTTGAATTATACATTTTCTTTATTCTAAATACTATCACAAATTCTTTAACCAGTATATGAATTATTTATTTCAAAATATATGTTAGATTATATAATAACTAACTATATCACTTTACACAGATGTATCAATACTTGATATTATTGTATGATTTTCCTATTTATTAACGCGTGCAGAGAGACAAAATTTTTGAAATATTTAAAAATTAACTTTATTATATCATGTTTATAGTTATTATTATTATTTTTATATATTTTATTGTTATTATTATTATTTTTATATATATTTATAACTTAAAAATTTAATGAATTTATAAATTCAAGTACAAATTTGAGGATATAGTTGAATAATGTGAATATAACTTACCGATTCAATTCTTATGGAATATGTAACATACTTCAAGACAACAATAAAACATGGAATTACAGATGACAAAAGTTCAAAGAGAAAATCCAAACTGTATTCAAATGTGACAAGTGTGAGTAACTGAAAGTTTGTTCGATATAAAATATAATCTTACATTACAGATAAACAAAATTAAAATTAATATATAGCACGATTCATAGTCGTTGAGAATTATTCCTATTTGTCAATAATAATATTTGAAGATACCTGCATTACAATGCCGAACATAAAACACGATAAGCAAGAAAATTGTTGTATTCGAATATACCACGGATTTTGATATGGCCATAATCCGATAGATGATAACATCATCCGATTAAGTGCATAATATCGACTACCGTCGAAGTCCATTTCTGTGATACAACTGAGAACACATTTTCCATCGCAGTAAGGAAGATAAAAGGATGATTACTGTTATTTTATTATGCATGATATTATTGCAACGCGATAGGAGAATTGCTTATAGAATTCAAGGGGTGAAATGG